AGGGAGCGAGGGAGACCCTGCCCCCTCGCCCTAACGTCCTGGGCGCAGGCTCTGCCCAGCGGTGCTATTATGGTGCTCGCGGAGCCAGACGCGGGCTGGGCCCCCTCGCGTCCCGGCCGCGGGGAGGGCGGGACGATCCCCCCCCCCCCCCCCCCGCAAAGGTAAAGACACTGAGGCTGGAATTTGCGCCTGGCCGCTGACCACACAGATGCAAGCGTCCGCACACTCTCCTCTGGGTCAAGACTCCGGAAGGGCACACCGTGTGCCAGCGCCCCAGGAATGCCGACTGTCCCCCCGCCCGGTGCCTTCCGCTGGGAAAGCCTGCGATGGCCAGGCAGCGAGGCGACGGCAGAGACAAGTGCCCGGTTCCAGACGTTCAGCAGCGCGTCTGCCCAGCGTCGGGAAGGCACGTGGGGACCAGCGGGCTCTGGGCAGCTGGGTGCTGCGGGTGGGGGCACTACGTCCAGGCCAGGCCGCAGCGGGGAGACCGGGGCGCGGCTGCACCTGTGCCCGGCCCCGCCGCCTCTTCCCCGCCCCCAGAGGCTCGGCAGCCAATCGTCGGAGGCGGCGGCGTGACGTCACTGTTGCCGGGCAAACCGGGGGCGCGTCGGGCCTTCCCCTGCGGGGCCCGCGGGGACGTGGGGCCGGAAAGCAGACGGGAAAAGCCGGGGACAGAGACAGGGAGGCACGGAATGCATATTGTCGCAGGGCCCTGCAGCTAGGAAAGGCCCCAGGGTTACCCAGGCTTGGCGGTGCAGCGGGGAGGGCGGGAGGCCCAGCGCCCTGGCCGTCCGCTCAGAACAACCCACGCTGTTCCCACCTCCCCCCAGGGACCACCGGAAACATTGCTGACTTCCAGAATGGCTACAGGGAAGACGCAGACATGGGGAATGATGTGCGTGGTTAAAACGTAACCCTCCGGCAGAACACTGCTGCTTCTGTGCTGTCCGTGCTGGGCTCTCGGCCCCTTCCTCCGCGGACACCCGGCCGCACACGCGCTCACAGGCCCCGCCTGCCCGTGAGACACCCTCCCGGGCCCTCGGCCCCCGAGCCTCTGGGGACTGCAGACCAACGTAAACACACATGCCTTGCACATTGGAAGAAAACGTCAAATTCCCGTCGGTACTTACAGCCCTAGACGCAGTCCCAGAAGCAAGGCCACCGCAGCGCGAGCAGCACGTCCGCAGGAGGCGCTCACGGGTCGGGCTGCTGTGCCCGCCCTGAGTAGGGAGAAGCTGAAGCGCAGCGGGCACGCTGGGGCAGGCACGAAAATGGAAGGCGCAGACACTCGTTGACCCAGTGGCTCCTTGGAGTGGAAGGCACTGAAGTCCGTGGGCACACGGCCCCGCGCCTCGGAGGGGGCCGGCGGCCTCCCGTGCGCTGTGTCATCACCTTCAAGTTCCTAACAGCCTTCTCTCTCCGTCTCTGTTCTAAGTGAAGTCCGAGGACATTGCTCCGGGCCGAAGCCCGGGCTGCAGGCCCTTCCTGGTCTTCCGCTGTCCCCGCACCCGCAGGACAGCCTCCCAGCTCCCAGGAGACACTGACTGCGGCCTCTGCGCTGCGCTTTCCCAGGAGGCGCCGGGCAGAGGGCAAAGGAAGGGTCACACCTGTCAGGACGAGTCTGGCTGCCTCACCCCTTAGGTATCTGTTCCCTGGAAGAATGTGACATTAGACAGCAAAAACAAAAACGTGCCATCAAGACGGATCAAGGAAAGACTCCTCCCTTGCTGTTAGGACAAAGGGCCTCAGAGTTTCACTCTGTCCGGAGACCCTCACATTATGTCGCTGGCCCTGGCAGACCAATATTCAAACCATACGTCAGCACACAATACTCACGGATTTGTGCTCTTACGTGACGTATAACCAAAATATAGTCTCAGGGTGACACAATGAAAGCAAGAGCCTTGTCTGTCTTGCTGAAACTTGTATTTTGAGACCCTAATATGAAGCGTGACACAGAGGGTTTTTTCTATGAAAAAATTCATAATTCATTTCATTTATATTATTCATTTGTATTAATTGAATACAGTTTTTATGTAACCCAGCAAAATAGACACTTAAAAAATTGAAATAACCTAAATGTTCTGGGAAAGTTAAGTTTGACACATTCATGCAATTAAATACTATGTAGCTGTAGAGGCAAGAACATGTTCTGAAGGTAGTCAGATGAAAGATCTCTGAGATAAATGATTGCCACTTATGGGGTGCCTGGCTGCTGTAGCTGGTAGAACATGGGACTCTTGATCTTGGGGTCCTGAGTTCAAGCCCCATGTTGGGCGTAGGGCTTACTTAAAAAAAACTTAGTACTCTTTATGCTTAAAAAAATGCAAGGTGAGGGAGTGCTTTCTCCTGGAGCCTCCTCCAGTGGGCGTATGGGGAAGGGTTCAGGGAAAACAAGGTGGTTCTGGATGGCTGGGAAGGAGGTATGTTATTTTGTGCCTTTGTATTTTGAAACAAATGCATATGAATAAGCAAGTAAACAAGGACTAACATTTGGAAGTAGAGGAGAGCTCAGGTATGTGTTAATGTGGGATTACACATTGTTCAGCAAACACAAGAAGCAAAGCAGTGTGCCTGGTGTCCTTTGTGTAGGATACATGTATGTATTTTACGTGTTGTCCGGAGGAGTTTACACTGTATGTCATTCCTACGACAGACGTATCGAGTGCTCACTGTTTCGCCTGTGGACAGCAGCCGGGTTAACACACAGGAGCTGTATTTAGGGTGTGTTTCTGCACACATGACTGTGGACCCGGCCTGTTAGCAAACATGAGGAGAGGTGCAGATTGAATGCACACTACTGAGGCTGAGGACAGCAACACACACAAAAACAACCCGAGAATGCCCGTGAGGTCACATGACGTGTGCTGTGCAAACTCAGGGAAGGTGACATTTAAGTGCAAAGGGAAATGTCCAGCTCTGACCAGCACAGGGTGGCTTCACCTCATGCACATCCTGCTCCATGTCCAGCAAGCACCTGGTGCCCCTATACCCCCAGTTCTGTAAATGATGACACTACTGGCTCCCTTTAGGCTGGTGGCCCCTCCCCTTGTTGAAGTCACCTTTGCCCCAAGACCCCCACGTCTGCTCCCCCAGCTCCAGGACCTGAGGTAGTGGAGAACTCACAGGTGAGTGAGGGGTAGGTGACCAGCTTTGGGATAGAAAACCTGGTTTCGATGCCAGCCCGAGGGGCGCGACCTTGAGCACTTCACTTCGGTGGTTTCATTTCCTCATGTGTAGAATAAGAGTGATAATGATTTAACATTTGTGTTACTGTTGTGAGGCTTAAATGAATTAATACACGGAAATCACTTAGGACACTGCCACATGGAAGCACTCAGTAAGGTGTTTTGTGGTGTCTGTTAGTTTGTTTTCAGAAACGCCATTACTTCTCCAAAGTGGCGTTGATTGGCTGGCGTCTGGCCCTCTGCTCTCCAGACCCTGCAGCTCACCTGGCGCCAGCCAGCTTTGACAACAGGGTGATTTCAGGCACCCCACGACCCCTACGCCGCCCTGGGAGTGAGCTTGTGCACAGCTCTCCCTCCTGGACAGACATGCACCATGGAGGAAGAGCACCATCGCAGGACACTTTGGTTTTCGGGAGGAAGAACCCCCACTGGGGAGGCAGTCACCCAAGCACAGAGGCTGCCTTCCCACCCCTCGCCCCTGCAGCCCCTGGCTCTTCTGCTCCCAGCTCCAGAGCAGCCAGCCTGTGCCCAACTGCAGCAGCCTTGCAGAGGGAAGGGGCCCAGGCACGCCGACCTTTCCGGTCTCCCAGCTCCTGGGGCTCTTCCCCAAAACCAGAAAACGGTGCTGCCCGATGCAACTTTTTGTGATGATGGAAAAGCCTCTCTTTGTGCTGTCGGATGCGTCAGCCACAGCTCATGTGCTGCTGAGCCTCATGTAAAACAAGGCTGGTGAATCTCAGAACTCAATTTTAAATTGTATTTCATTTCAATTTGAATGACTACTTGTGGCCAGTGATTACTGTATCAGACGACATGACTTTGAACTCTGTCCTGACCCTTTTTTCTTATTTGGTGAGACGGTGTTGCTTCAAGATTGGCAAATATGGTTTTCAAATTTGATGACTGATGTGGAGATGTTGGGGTTCAAGAGTGAACAGTCAAGAAAGAATTCAAGAAAGAAAAAGAGGGAGGTTTTATGAAAGCACGGGGACAGGACCCGTGGGTGGGAAGAACTGCACTGGGGTTGTGAGGAGTGACTAGTTATCCACCCTCAGGCTGGGACGGGGTCAGGGACAGCGTAAGTCTGTACAGAATTTGGGAGCAAGTGTCCAGGGCGTTGAGGGACTAGCTGCTGTTGGGAGAAGGTCATTGACTACAGTGTAGTAAAGCCCCAGTCATGAGACGCTCCAGATGTGTAGGGGGGGCTGTAAGCTTGGAGGGTGATTGCCGGCATATATCCTGGAATGGGGGGGGGGGGCGGGAATAAAGGAGGCTCCCAAAGGGATGTTATATGTTAAAATGGATGCTGGGCTAATGTCCAGCTAAGATTGCCTTTTGCCTCCAGCAAAGTATTAACCTGGGGGCAGCTGAGATCCCAGAGGACGGTCACTGTTTCCAGTACTCGTCAATGGGCTACAGGTTATAAGGCAGTTTAATTTTTCTTTTCTCTTGCTTTTGTTCTCCAGTCAGTGATGATACTGGTCTTACCGTTCAGTGAGCTGCTGCGTAAGGAGAAAGGTTGTATTTCTATTCCACATCTCCCCTTTCCCCTGTGACACAGAGGCCATCAGAGCATGATGTCACACCGGGGGCATGTGTCCTCGGCGGCTATGCCGATTGCCGGCCACCGGCCTCCACGAGCTTCCTTCTTACACGGGGGCCTCTCTGAGCTCAGGCCACCTTCCTCTCCTGATGCTCCGCTCATGACCTTCCCAAATGTATTCCCTGGGAATGGGTCTGGCACACACCTGAGCGTAAGGCAGGAGGTTGGGTTTGTGTCAGAGAGAGGGAGCTGAGAGGTCAAGGAGAGAGGCCTGGCCGTGACCCTCATGAGTCTGCAGAAATGTCCTTCCTTTTCTAGAAGCCAACAATAATCCTCCACGCTGGCCAACGGCAGGAAGAGCTGGGTTGGAGGGACACCACTGGCCCACGGACAAGCCTTTCTGCCGGGAGGGGGACTGAGGCCCAGTACCAGGCAGCCTCCGCTCCACAGCTCGGAGGGGGTGGGGGAGCCAGACCCTGGCCCTCCCCGGGTCAGTAGCCCTTTTGTGTAAGTGCCTGGCAGGGATGACTCGGGCTGTTCCTGCTCTCCCTGGGTCCTCCCCTCGGGCGGTGTCAGAGGAAGGGGACACGCACTCTCTGCGGGGGGCTCTCTGTCCCCAGTCACAGTGGAGATGGCAAGTCCATCGGGCTCCCCTCCACCCAGCTGCCTTCCCTCCCTCCTCCTCCTCCTCCTCCTCCAGCCATCTTTCAGCTACGCAGGTAAGAGTTTTTTGTTTGTTTTTTTTTTTCTGGGGAGACCCCGGGAGACCTAGAACAGAAAGGCTGCTTCCCCAGGGCTCACCTCCTTCAGTTCACCCTCATGTTGTCTCGCAAGTGGCCCGTCCATGCTGACACGGTCCCTCCCCAGAAAGCCTCGCTGGCTCACTGCAGGTTTCAGAGGAGAGTCCAGACCCCACAGCATGGCCTTGACTCAGGCCCTCCTTGACCTCATTCTGACCCATCTTTCCAGCGTGGGTTTCTCATCAACCAAATGGGCAGACACTAACCTGCTCTCAGGGCGTGATGCGGTATGACATAGTAGTTCCTCCCCCTGGGAAATCTTTGTAAGTGCTGAGCGGCGCGTTATACTGGAGCCCTGCTGTCCTGTGCTGGTGGCAATAGAGACATAGAAGAGAGAGTCACAGCCTCAGGGAGCCAGCAACGAGGAGGCCCAGCCCTGTTCTCCCTGGCCAAGCCCTAACGGGCGGCGTGGAGAAACCAGCAGCCGGGAGTGTGGCTGACGCCTTCCACCAGGGAGAAGTTTGGGAGCATGGGCTGAGGCAGAGGGGAGGGAAGACACAGAGCCGTCTGCGGACATGGTGTGGACCAGAACACAGGACTGAGGGGTCAAAAGTAAACCCTCGAGGGGAAAGTGGGGGCAGCTTGGCTCAGTTCAAACAGGAAGCCCCCCCCACCCTAAGAGTTAAACTGCAAGGTGCTGGGCCACGTCCCAGGAGGGAACCCACAGGCGAGGGTGTCCGGGATGCACACGCTGGCAGGAGGGTGGCCACACACCAGAATGTCCCTCCCGCTCGGGACACTCACAGCTCATCTGTACCACTGTTCCCTGCTCCCAAATTCCATGTAAAATCTGGTGTCTTCCCTCAATGCTGCAGAGAGGCCCCTGAGACTGGCCCTCTGACAGCCACTGTCTTCTCTTGGGTGTCTGGGACAGGACAGTTCAGGGTCATAGGGCCCGGCCACCCCATCCGGGCGCTGGTGGGGGATGAAGCAGAGCTGCCGTGCCGCATACACCCTGGGAAGAACGCCACCGGCATGGAGGTGGGGTGGTACCGACCCCCCTTCTCCAGGGTGGTCCATCTCTACCGCAACGGCCGGGACCAGGACGCGGAGCAGGCGCCCGAGTACCGCGGGCGGACGGAGCTGCTGAGGGACAGCATGGGCGAGGGCAAGGTGACCCTCAGGATCCGGAACGTCAGGTTCTCAGACGAAGGAGGCTTCACCTGCTTCTTCCGGGACCACTCCTACCAGGAGGAGGCCGCGATGGAGCTCAAAGTGGAAGGTGAGAAGTGCCCCAACTTGGGTGGGGGCAGGGGAGACTTCAGTCCTCCTCTCAGCGGCCCTGAGATCCCCCAGCCAAGCTCCGCAGCCCCGGGAGAGGCATCAGGCGCCCGGGAGGCTCAGTCGGATACGCATCTCACTCTTGACTTCAGCTCAGGTCATGATCTCCCAGTTTCTGAGTTCGAGCCCCAAGTCAGTCTCTGTGCTGGCAGTGTGGAGCCTGCTTGGGAGTCTCTCTCTCTCTCATTCTGTTCCTTCCCCTCTCACACTGTCTCTGTGTCTCTCAAAATAATAAATAAATAAACTGAAAAAAAAAAAGAAAAGAAAAGAAAATACTGCTTCAGAGCCATGCTACCTGGCTTGGAGGCCATTAGGTAGTTGAATGATAAAAGCAAGCTGCGAGATGTAGGAAACAAACACAGGACTTTATGTGTTTGAACGTAGATGTAGATGCAAATATACTGCAATAAGGTATGAAAGAAAACCCATAAGAAAGTTCAGGGAATGTGGTTCACTTTGGGGGGTAAGAGGAGAGGAGGGAGAATGCAGTGCAATCCAAGCGAAGGAGAGACCGTAATTATCCATATGATCATACTTATGCATCCATATAACAGAGCTTCTAGTATGTGGGTATGTAGAGAGAAAAATAAAGAAAAGGTTTTTTTAAAAAATATATGAAACAATGATTTTCAGATATAGGACAACAGACAGTATAGGAAACGGATCTTTCTTTTTTTTTTTAAGGTTTATTTTTGAGACAGAGAGAGATGGGGACACAGGTGGGGAGGGGCAGAAAGAGAGGGAGACACAGAATGCCAAGCAGGCTCCAGGCTGTGAGCTGTCAGCACAGCCTGATGCAGGGCTCGAACCCACGAGCCCGAGAGATGATCAAGACCCGAGATGAAGTTGGACGCTTAACTGACTGAGGCACCCAGGCGCCCCATGGTTTGTTTTTTTTTGTTTTTTTTTTTTAATTTTGAAGGAGAGAGACACAGATCATGAGCAGGGGAGGGGCAGAGAGAGAGGGAGGCACAGAATCCCCAGCAGGCTCCAGGCTCTGAGCCCGAAGTGGGATCAAATTTACAAGCTGTGAGATCATGACCTGAGCATAAGTCGGATGCCTAACTGGCTGAGTGACCCAGGTGCCCCTAAAGGAAAGTTTTCTTTTTTTCAAAATTTATTTATTTTGAGAGAGACAGAGACAACACAAGTGGGGGAGGGGCAGAGAGGGAGAGAGAGAGTCCCAAGCAGGACCCTTGCTGTCAGCACAGAGCCCCACTTGGGACTCCATCCCACAGTGAGTTCATGACCTGAGCTGAAATCAAGACTCGAACACTTAACAACCAAACCACCCAGCCTCCCCCAAAGAAAAGTTTTTTAAAGGTTCTTTTTAAAAATGTTTTTAATGTTTGTTTTTGAGAGAAAGGGAGAGACGGTGCAAGCAGGGGAGGAACAGAGAGGAGACACAGGCTCCGGGCTCTGAGCTGTCAGCACAGAGCCCGACGCGGGGCTCGAACCCACAAACTGAGATCATGACCTGAGCCGAAGTCAGACGCTTAACCCACTGAGCCACCCAGGTGCCCCTAAAGTTTTTTAGATAAGATAAAGAAAAACCAAAAATAAAAAAAACTGACAAATAGAGGCAGCAAACCCCAAAATAATTCATTTGTTCTTATTTCATGCCACTAGAGGGGATGGTGGCTAATGTGAGAGTTGATCCCAGTGTTTGGAATGTCTTCCTGTTTGTTTGTTATAAACAAAGGCGTCATTCCTAACCAGTCAAAATGACCAAATCCTAGTAGAATGAATCTGTACGGCCCTGAAACCACATTCCTGGTAAACGTGGCCCACGTCTGGACGCGGCCCCAGAAGGAGACGTGCCTCCTCAGGGCCTTCTCTTGCTGTTTGTACGATGGGTGACTCGGGCACGTAGGCTTTGGCCTTATCACAGGCTGCTGAAGACGTGGACAGGGTGAGGGGAGAGAGAGCGGGCTTTCCTGTAGAAGAACAGAAATGTCTCAAGGGCCTGCGCCTCAGGCCTTTCCCTCCTCCCACCCGCTCTTCAGACAATCGGTCACTTTTGTGTGCGGTGCCGGGACCAGGAGCCGGCATTGTACGCGGATAACAAAGCGCTGCTTCTGGAGAAGGGTGGCGGGGACGAGAAGCGGCGGCTTTGTGAGCCACAGAGTGCGCGCACAGCTGGCCTCGGGGCTTGTACCTGCAGCGAAGGGGGGCCCTTCCCTCTCTTGTCCGTCTCGTCGCAGGAAAGGAAGGAAGCAGGGAAGAGAAGGGGGGTGAGAAAGGAAGGAGGGGAGGGGGGAGGGAAGGAAGGAAGGAAGGAAGGAAGGAAGGAAGGAAGGAAGGAAGGAAGGAAGGAAGGAAGGGGAAGCCAAGCTCCCCTTCTCTCTGCCTCAGGGGAGAAAGTTTTTCTTTGATCCTCCCATTCCAACCCCCTTCCTCCCCTCTTAGAGTCTGCTGGCCTAAGAGTCTAAAAAAAGAATGATTTACAAGTAAACAGGACACCACCCGCCTTGCCTGGGGAGCCAGGAATCTGAGAAGAATCTAGGACTGAAAGGAAACTCCCCCTCCTTCTCCAGATTCTTTTATCTTTCTTTCCAGCTTTTTTTTTTCTTGTCAGTTTTGGGATTTTACCACTTGTCTCTAACCCTTTCTTTAAACTCTCCAGTTTGACACTTTGGAGCGTAGGAGAAGCAGACAGAATACTGCAAGGAGCCAGCACACGCCACCTTTCCGCCAGGATCAGCCTGCTTCGCGCGGCCCTGCTCAGCCCCCTCCCCAACGCAGTCGCGGCGCCAGCCCTAGGCGGCAGTACCGGCCCATTGCTAAATGCTTGGGAACGTGTAGGGGCACCAGCCCAGCTCAGTCAGGGCAGCACGGGACGCTTGACCTTGGGTCGTGAGCCCCACATTGGTGGTACAGTTTACTTGGGGAAAAAATGTATTACTCAAATGTAAGATGAATCAATACTGTTATCATATCTTCTAAAATTAACAGAAATTCCTGGGGCGCCTGGGTGGCTCAGTGGGCTGAGCGTCCAACTTCAGCTCAGGTCATGATCTCACAGTTCGTGGGTTCAAGTCCCTTGGCAGGCTCTGTGCTGACAGCTAGTTTGGAGCCTGGAGCCTGTTTCCGATTCTGTGTCTCCCCCTCTCTCTGACCCTCCCCTGCTCACGCTGTCTGTCTCTCTGTCAGAAATAAATAAAACATTAAAAAAAGAGATGATGTTTATATTTTAAAAAAATAATAAAATTAACAGAAATTCCTTAATATCAGCAATACCCCACTCTGTGTTCAAATTCCCCTGATTGTCTCACAAATATATTTTTACAATTGCTTAGTTTGAGTCCCACCCGATCGAGACCCACGGCTCGGTGCTTGTCCTGTGGAGTTTCCCCGGCTCCAGATTTTGCTGACGTAATGCTGTGCATCATGGGGCTCCACCTGTATTTCTTGTAAACCAATAGAGAAGTACAGTCAGATTCAGGTTTAATTTAATTTTCAGGCTCTCATAGCTGATGCTGTGCAGTCCTTATTGCTTTACTTCAGAAAGACTCATAAACCCTCGCTTTCTCTTTTTGTGATTCTAATCCTTGGTGAGGGGATAAAGGTGTGCAAAGCAGGTACCTGCTAATTCATGTCTGCAGGTCACCTCTGGTGAGAGCTCTGAGAGCAGAGTTGGTACTTGCTTCCAGTCCAGTGTAACAATGCACACGAGCCGTAATCTGCAGCTTCAAGACGTTTATTCCTAAGAAGCCCTCCTGGACAAGCTGCTTGCGGTAACTGAGTCCCTACTCTTGACGGCAGTGTCTTTATCTAGCCTTGAAAGGAAGGAGCAGGAAGAAAAGGGCTCGACCCTTGCTGGGCACAGAGACCAGACAGGCTGAGCTCTCGCGCACTCGTGGTGCGGAGCCGGAGGCCAGCCCTGCCCCACCTACGGCCCCACCCATCCTCAGCCATAAACCCTGTGCGTGCTACTTTCTCAAAAGTTCCACAAGACGTGTTCTTAACCTTTCTCTACGTCACCCCTGTGAGGGACCCCTTCTCTTTTTTATAAGTAAGCTCTACGTCCAACATGGGGTTCGCTCACGACCCCGAGATCAGAATCACACGCTCTACTGGCTGAGCCAGACAGGCATTTTGCCCTTCCTCAGAAGGATGTTTTGAATGCAAGGAAACGTGCTTGTACTGAAACACAGTTATCAAAATGTTAAAACAACAAAATATGGAGTGGCCCTGATACTTAGTGTAATTTCAAGATAGTAATGAATGTGATATTTTGAGGTTTGCAATAACTCTAATGTGATGAGATATTTGTGGTTTTTATTGAGACAAAGTCACAGGTTCTGTTCACAATACTGTGCGGTGTTGCTTACAGACGTGCTAATTGAAAGAAATGAGGAATTTCAGTTTAAAGGTTACTAAAAATAAGTATGCGTGTTTTCCTGTTTAATTCCGCAGATCCTGACTTCCTAAACGCCCACTGCGCCCTAGTTCAGGCTTAGGCCGCGTTCTGTCTTTAAGATTAGCTGGACTCCCCCCCCCTCCGCCGGGTGGGCTTTAAGATTAGCTGGACTCCCCCCCCTCCGCCGGGTGGGCTTTAAGATTAGCTGGACTCCCCCCTTTCCGCCGGGTGGGCCGTCATGGGTCAGTCTTCCTCCCCTTAGGACCCTTCGCCGTGCCCTGCGGCCTCTAAGCCCAGACCCGAGTCTTAGCGGGTTATCAGAACTGGCCTAGGAAACAGCCTTGAGAATAACCAGGCCTGGGGCGCCTGGGGGCTCAGTCGGTTGAGCATCTGACTTCGGCTCAGGTCATGACCTCGCGGTTCGTGGGTTCGAGCCCCGCGTCAGGCTCTGTGCTGCCAGCTCGGAGCCTGGAGCCTGCTTCGGAGTCTGTGTCTCCCTCTCTCTCTGGCCCTCCTCTGCCCACGCTGTGTCTCACAAATAAAACATTAAAAGAGAGAGACAGAGAGAGAATAACCAGGCCTCCCTGGAAGCAAACCCACTTTCTCTTCGAGGCCACGCTCAGTTCTGTGTCTTCTTTGGCCCCGGGTGACACTGGGTCCTGCCTGGACAGACGCGCCCAGCGCGGTGCTGGGCCTGCAGCCTGGTTCTGCCTTTCAGATCCCTTCTACTGGATCAACCCCGGGGTGCTGGTGCTGATGGCCGTGCTGCCCGTGCTCCTACTGCAGACCACGCTGGGCCTCGTCTACCTCTGCCTGCAGCGCAGACTGAGAGGTACGGCTGGACGTCGCGGGGCTGCCGGGGACCCTTCCTGGAGCTCAGCGGGCCTCTTAGAGCTCCAATGACGAACTGATGTTTGGTTTGGAGTGACTTCTGGGCTCAAAAGTCCATGATGACAAGTGTTACATCTTACCTGGTGCTTTTGTTTATGTAACAGGACTTGCATTTCCCTCTGAGGTAGGGCCGATGTAGAATAGCCCCATTTTACAGAGGACACACTGAGGCCTGGAGAGGTTCAGTATTTACTGAAGCTGATGTGCCTTGTAAGGGGCAGAGCTGGGCCTTGCCCCCACGTTCCAGCCCCCCAGCCACACAGGGAGAGTGAGATGAGGGTCGGACGGGTCTGTGTCTGGCAGAGGTTTAACAAGCACCACCCCGTACTAGGTGCTCAAACTTGTTTCCTCCTTTGTTCAGCACTGAGGGCTCATGTTCAGCCGTCAGTGTTTTTGCCCCGAGCGTCCATCCTAAGCCTTCTGTCAGGTATTCTCAAAGCCAACACGAGGGACCTTCTCCCCCATCCACCCCGGGGCCCAGGATGCCTGGGCCTGCAGGCGGGCACGCAGGTGGGAGCAGCAATGGGGTCTTCTCGATCCCCTTGAATTCCGCCCCGGGGTACCCAGTGACCTTCACTGCATGAGGCTGAGCAGGAACAGCCAGGGGCGAAATCCGGCTCCAGCACGGACAGGAACGTCACCACCCCCCCCCCCCACCAGTCTTGTCCGAGGGGATATTGAGATGCAAAGCATCCGGTTGGGAGCCCACCTCAAAGTACTTGCTCCGCGGAAGGTTTCATTCCTCCAGTCCTCATTCAGATGGGAAGTGGCTTTAGATTTACAAACTGACAGCCCTGAGGGGTCCAGGGGCCGTGAGAACAGAGAACCGGCCAGGAGAGGGGCCCGCAGCAGTGGGGGAGCCCTGACCGTAAAGCCTGGGCGCTCCCGCCCTCCCCGGGCTGCTGGGGGTGGAAGGGCCCCATGCGATGCCAGCGCTGGGACTAAAAATGTTGCCTTTCTCTATTTTAGGAAAACTTCGGGCAGAGATAGGTGAGTTTTAGTCTCGCTCCATCTGCCGCCCCTCCCTTCTGGTTTTGGCCCTTTTCTCTGACACCCTCTTTGGCCCCCTTCGCACAGAAACTGTGCAAAGTCGGCTTCCCCTGCCTGCTGCCAGCCGGGGCGAGGCAGTCCCTCCGTGCCACAACTGGAAACAGTTTTAAGAGCTTAAATAACAAAGGCTCATGTGTTCCCTTTCAGAGAATCTCCACCGGACTTTCGGTAAGTGCTGGGGCCCCGGTCCCCGAGTCCTCCGGGGTGGCCCGGGCAGTAAGAGGCCTCTGCCTCTTTCTCTGAGAAAGTCACCATCTACCCGCATGTAGGATTGGTGATGGCAGCAAATTCTCCTGTCACACTTCTGTCCCAAGCGCCACACTAACAGCTCTCCATGCTAACCCGTTCTGTAGGAATTACAGGGACTTGCTGCACATCATTTCCCTTTTCAGACGCTACCGAGGGGAGGTAAACCCATCCTTTGCACATACACTTGAGGTCTAGTTGGGGAGGCGATAAAATTAACTGGAGAACAAAGCACTTATGTGTCACCACCTGAGCTCACATACTGGAAATGAGTTTTCGAGAGCACAGAACAAGCAGCCGTCTTGCGGGAGAGAAGCCACCAAGCCCGATAGAACGGACAGTCCCCGTCCTGTCTCCACTGCAGGCCGCCCAGCGCCTCGGGACAGCGCTGCAGCAGAACGCAGCCAAACAGTGGCTGCGTGGACACTGCAGAAATTAGAAGATGCCTGGGGCCGAGCACCCCTGCTCCCCAGGGCCACACACACACACACACACACGCACACAGACACCAACCCAAAAAGGGAGGAACAAGACCTGTGTTTTGTAGGGTTCATACAGATTCTTTCTGTCCCGTGAATCTCCTCAGCACTCTGGCAAAGCCTAATGGACCCTTTTCCAGAATAATGTTTTTAAACGTACACACACATCACCGACACAGACGACGGCAAAGAAAACCATTGAACTGAAATACAGGTATCAAAATATAAACACATTTGTATTTGGTAACATGTAATCTGTAATATAGTAACAAATGTTTTTTAAATAACAAAAATGCATTAAATAAGAATGTAGCAGCAGGCCTGATAACTTATAATTTCAAAACATTCACAAACATTTTGAGATTTCAGTAACAACCCCAACGGGAATGAAAGTATCTGTGGTTGTCATCGGCGATAAAGGTCACAGGTACTGCTGATGACTGCTGTGTTGCCTACATTTTTAATGGAAGAAACTGCTAAATTCAGTTAAAGGTTGGTGAAAAGGAAGACATAATGCTTTTCTCCTCCAAGCTCACGACCGCCCTGAACTCTCCGCAGACCCCTGTAGTGTTCCTGGACCCCAGGTTGAGAAACCCAATAATGAACAGAGCTGGGTGGGCGGGGCTCCAGCGGACACACATTAGTTAATCTTGTCTGTTCTGTGACGACCCAGACCCACACTTCCTGAGGGTGCCCTGCTGGAAGATCACCCTGTTCACGCTGGTGCCGGTGCTCGGACCCCTGCTTGCCCTGGTCATCTGCTACAACTGGCTGCATCGGAGATTGGCAGGTACACAGGGCTGCAAGGATGACCTGAGTGATGGGGACCAGGTCGTCCCCGAAGAGGGAAAGAGTGGGACCAGGGCTTAAGATGCAGAGAACCGGATTTCGTACCTCCTGTGTCCCCAAGGCCAACCCCAGGCTCCTCAGGGACTATGTGGGGAGGGGACACACCACCTTCCACCAGTCATTTATTTCTCTTTTTTTTCAGGGCAATTTCTTGAAGAGCTAAGTAAGTTTTCTTCCCCTTTATAACTGAGAACAAAAGCCAGAAAGGCAGAAAGAGGAAGCGGGGTAGCCAGAAAGGCAGAAAGAGGAAGCGGGGTAGCCGAGGGAACCCAAGGGGGAAGGTGTGGGGGGGGGGGCTCCCACAGCAGGGGCAGCTGGAGGGACCCCAGGGGGAAGGCGGAGAGTGGTGGCCATCCCCCCCACCCACCCACCCCCGCTGCTAGGACTCCCACGCTGCCCAGGAGCCACCCTAAGCCTCATTCCAAGACCACCCACGGAGAAGAGAGCCCC